AATGCAAAGCCAGGTTTCTCTGTTAATTGTGCTCAAAAAAAAAAAAAAAAAAGAGGGAGAGAGATGGTAGAGTCATAAAGGGAGGCAAGCTACCTACACTTCACCTGAACTGATGAATGATGACACCAGTAAACTGTGATGTCCTGTACATATAATATAAAACCTCGAGCAACCACTAAAAAAGCTATACAAAGAGATATTTTCAAAAACAAATAAAATTCTGAAAAATGTTCTGGTATCCACAGGATGGCAGTAAAAAGCAAATCAAGAAGTGAAAAACAGAACAAACAGAAAACATAAAATAGCAGACTAAAGACTTAACATTAATAATTAAGTGTAAGTGATCTAAATACAACTAAGAGATCAAGATTGCCAAAGTGGATTAAAAACATGACTCAACTATATGCTGTCTATAACTCACTTCAAACAGAAGAATACAGGCAAGTTGAAATTAGAACAATAAACAAAGATATATCATGCAAACAATAATCAAAGGAAACCAGCTGTGGCTACATTAATATCAGATAAAGTAGACTTTAGGGCAAAGAAAATTACCAGAGGTAGACATAAAATAATTATAATCATGCTGGCTCACCAAAAAGATATAGCAATCCTGCATGAGCATACATCAAATAACAGAACTGCAAAATATGTGAAGCAAAAACTAATAGCACTGAAAAGGCAAATAAACAAAATTAGTTATAATGAGAGACTTAAACACTCCTCTCCCAACAATTGACAGAAGAAAAAAATCAGAAAGAATACAAAAGAACTCAGTACCACCACCAACCAATATGATCTAGTTGACATTTTATTGGATATACCACCCAACAACAGAATACACATTCTTTTCATTTGCTTGCAGAACATGTATCTAAATAGACCATATCCTGGGCCATAAAAGAAACCTCTAGAAACATAAAAGAATTGAAATCATATAGTGTGTTTTCTGATCACAATAAAATCAAACTAGAAATCAATAATAGAAAGATAATAGTAAAACTCCAAATATTTAAAAACTAAACAACACACTTCTAAATTCTGCATGGACTAAAGAATAAAAATTAAAAGTACCAAAATTTACAGAACAGCTAGAGCAACGTTGAGAGGGAAATTTATAGCATTAAATGCTTACATGAGAAAAAAGTCTCAAATCAATAATCTAATATCTCAGATGGAAAACCCAAAACAAGTAAAATAAACCCAAAACAAGCAGAAGGAATGAAATCATAAAAAGAACATAAAAAAGTAAAAATAAAAATAAAAAATAAATTTAAAAAAACGAGAACTAAAAAAAAGGAAATTTAAAACAAAACAATTACGATAAAAAAACCACAAAACAATGAAACAAAGAGTTGGTTCTTTAAAGAGAGAAAACACAAACAATCAACATAAAACAGGGATCATTACTATAGACCCTGCAGATATCAGAAGAATAGGGAAGTACTACAAACAATTCTATACATATAAATCTGACAACTTAGAAGTAGTCCAATACCACAAAAAGCACAAACTACCAAAATGTACTTAATATGAAATAGATCATTTGAATACCCTTTTAACTATTAAAGAAATTGAATTCATAATTTTAAAAATTCCAAAAAAGAACTCTCCAGGCCCAGATGATTTCATTGGTGAAATCCATCAAGCATCTAAAGAATGAATAGCAATTCTACACAATCTCTTCTACAAAATAGTAGAGAAGGGAACACTTCGGCATTCATTTTATGAAGTTATTATTATAAAACCAGATAAAAACCGCAGTACAGAAAACCAAAACTAGAGACCAATATTCATGAATATAGATGCAAAATTTCCTCCCAAAATATTAGGAAATATAATTCAGCAATAAATAAAAAGAATTCTATACCGTGACCAAGAGGGGTTTATGCCACAGAGTCAAGGCTGGCTCAAAATTTGAAAATCAACTAATGTAACTCCCCATTTTCTTTTTCCCAGTAAGAAAAATCATGTGATCATATCAATCTATCCAGAAAAACACCTTAAAAGTCAGTATATTCCTGAGAAAGGAACTCAGAAAAAAAAGAAGTCAACATCCACTTATGATAAAAATTCTCAAAAAAAGAAAAAAAGAAAGAAAGAGAGCGGAAATTCTTCAGCTCAATAAAGAATATCTAAGAACCTAGTCAGCCTTATTCTTTTTGATGGAATACTAAATATATTCTCTCTAATATCAAAAATAAGGTAAGAAAGTCTGCTTTCCTTGTGCTGGAAATTCTAGCCAGTGCAATAAGGCAAAGAGGGAAAAAAAAGGCATAAATATTATGAAAAAATAAACCTCCCCCTATTTGCAGGTAACATTACTCTCTCTATATAGAAAATCCCAAGGAAGCTACAAAAACATTCCTATAAGTACAGTTCAACAGTCATCGGATATAGGATAAACATATAAAAATCAATTATATTTCTATATACCAGGGACACTGAAATTAAAAATATCACTTACGGCCAGGTGTGGTGGCTCAGGCCTGTAATCTCAGCACTTTGGGAGGCCAAGGTGGTCAGACTAAAAGGTCAGGAGTTCAAGACCAGCCTGGCCAACATGGTAAAACCCTGTCTCTACTAAAAATACAAAAATTAGCTGAGCGTGGTGGTGCATGCCTATAATCCCAGCTACCCAGGAGGCTGAGGCAGGAGAATCACTTGAACCCAGGAGGCAGAGGTTGCAGTGAGCGGAGACCACACCATTGCACTCCAGCCTGAGCAATAGAGCAAGACTCCATCTCAAAAAAAATATATATCACTTACAATCACTCCAAAAATTGAAATAATTCGGTGCATACATAACAAAACACATACAGCATTTGTATGCTGAAGACTACACAATGCTGATGAAAGAAAACAAAGATGTGGCTAGGTGCGGTGCCTCATGCTTACAATGCCAGCACTCTGGGAGTCTGAAGCAGGAGGATTTCGAGTTGGAGAACAGCCTGGGCAACATGGCAAGACCCCATCTCTACAAAAAATAAAGTAAAAAAAATTAGCTTGGTGTAGTGGCATGCACCTGTGGTCCCAGCTACTTGAGAGGCTGCAGTGAGAAGATGGCTTGAGTCCAGGAGACTGAAGCTATGCCATGAGCCATGTTCATGCCACTGCACTCCAGGCTGGGTGACAGAACAAGATTCTATCTCGAAAAAAAAAAAAAAGGACATCAGAGATTTCAAATAAATGGAGAAATACGTTGTGTTAAAAGACCGGAAAGTGTTAATCCTTCTCAAATTGACATATGGGTTTATTAAAATTCCTATCAAAATCTCAGCATGATCTTTTGTGGATATAGACAAAATTATTCTAACAAACATTTGAACTGAATAGCGAAAGAACTAGAGTGGCCAAAACAATTCTGGAAAAAACAAAGTAGGACAAATCACTCTACCTGATTTTAAAACTTAATGTACAGCTACAGGTATGGGTGGAGGGATAGCTACACAGGTGAGTGAAACGAAATGGGAAAAGAAATGAACTATGACCTAAACCTCACACCTTATACCGAAATTAACTAGAAAACGGATCACAACCTTATGTAAAATACAAAGCTATAAAATTTTTTGAAAAAAAAATAGGATAAAATCAGGATCTATGGCTAGGCAAAGAGATCTTATCAGCAAAAGCTCAACTCATAAAAGGAAAAACTGATGTACTGGACTTCATGAAAATAAAATACTCTTTTCCATAAAAGCCCATATGAAGAAGGTGAAAAGACCAGCCACAGAGTGGCAAAAAATATCTGCAAACCACATACCTGACAACGGACTAGTATCTAGAATATACAGAGAACTCTCAAACCTCTATAGTAAAGAACAAACAATCCAATCAGAAAATGGGGCAAAAGTCATTGCTATTTCAGTAAAGAGGATATAAGAGTGAGAAATAAGCATATGAGAAAATCCTTGACATTATTAACAACTGAGGAAATGACAATTAAAACAACAATGAGATATTACTACACACTTATCAGAATGGCTAAAACAAAAAATAGTCAAAACATCAAATGCTCTTGAAGATATGGAGAAACTGAACCACTCAAACATTGCTAGTGGGAATGTAAATGGTACAACTACCCTGGAAAACATTTCAGCAGTTTCTCTGAAAAAAAAAAAACTAAATATATATGACCTACAGCTGCATCCCTGGGCATTTACTCCTTAAAAAATAAAAACTGACGTATCCAAGACTGAGTAATCTATAAGAAAAAATAAATTAATTAATTAAAAAAAAATTAAAACTGTCAGCTGGGTGCAGTGGCTTGTGCCTGTAATCTCAGCCCGTTGGGAGGCGGAGGCAGGCAGATTGCCTGAGCTTGGGAGTTTGAGACCAGCTTGGGCAGCACAGTAAAACCCCATCTCTACTAAAATACAAAAAAAAAAAATTAGCCAGGTGTGGCAGCGTGTGCCTGTAGTCCCAGCTACCGGGAGGCTGAGGTAGGAAAATTGCAGGAACCTGGGAGGTGGAGGTTGCAGTAAGCCCAGATTGCACCACTGCACCCCAGCCTGGGCAACAGAGTGAGACTCCATCTCAAAAATAAATAAATAAATAAATGTTAAAAAAATTTTTTTATATAAAAACTGTGTTCACAAAATACCTATACCCAAATGTTTATAGCAGCTTTACTGACAATAGGTAAAAACTGGAAACAATCTAGACATCCTTCTACAAGTCACTACACAAACTGAGGAATAGTCCACACATTGGACTATTCCTCAACAGTAAAAAGGAGCAAGCTACTGGTACCTACAAGGACCTAAGTGAAGCTCCAGAGAACTACACTAAGTGAGAAACGCCAGTCCCAAAGAGTCACATACATACTGTGCGATGCCATTTTTACGCTTTTGAAATTATGAAATAAATAGAAATGAAAAACAGCGCCGGGCGTGGTGGCTCACGCCTGTAATCCCAGCACTTTGGGAGGCCGAGGCAAGCAGATCATGAGGTCAGGAGATCGAGACCATGGTGAAACCTGGTCATGGCCATTTCATCCTGGCCATGGTGAAACCCCATCTCTATTAAATACAAAAAATTAGCTAGGCATGGTGGCGTGCATCTGTAATCCCCGCTACTCAGGAGACTGAAGCAGGGGAATTGCTTGAATACAGGAGACGGAGGTTGCAGTGAGCCAAGATTGTGCCACTGCACTCCAGCCTGGCAAAAGAGCAAGACTTTGTCTCAAAAACCAAAAAAGCAAAAAAACAAAACAACAACAACAACAAAAAAAACAGCTTAAGGTGTGCCTGCAGTTAAGGAAGAGGTTGGTGGGAGAGAGGCAGGTGAGTTTGGCAGCATGAAGAGCTCCTTTGGTGATGGGAATATTCTTCCACTTGACTGGACTGATGTTAGTATTCTGGTTGTGATGTTGCACGACAGTTTCACAAGATGTTACTGTTAGGGGACACTGGTGAAGGGCATCATGCAGGACCTCTCCCTGCTATTTCTTACAATACTGTGTGAATCTACAATTGCAAAGTTATAATTTTAATGGTCTAACCCTCTCTTAAAGCTAAATAAAGAAATTGTGAGATTTATTACTTCTGTTCCTATGATTTGAAAATGCTACATGAGAAGACCCTTGCACAGTTGAATTTGACTGACTTGGTAGAGATGACCGGAGAGTAGGAATACGCACACATATCTTGGTCCCGTATTTCATATATTCATTTACAACTTAAACCCAAACTACTTCCCTAAGAGGACAAGTGTTTCTACCTTGGCACCATATAAATCCGAGTTCTTCATCAGAAACTCTGCTGACGTCCGCACTGTGACTCCAGTCGTCTCACACTGCAGCACACAGTTTTCCAGCGTAGTCTTACCACGGTGAACGACTGTGACGAAAACACACGCTGACTGCTTTAAGAAGTAATGTGCCTTTTCCAGTATTAGAGATAGCCTGGTGCTGACATTAGATGTGGACTAAATATTTCTCAAAAGCTACCATTAAATTTTCTTACCTAAATTACAAATTCATAAAATAAAAAATGACTATTTTGAATTATTTTCTACAATCTAAAAGCAACATTCTTTAAAAAGAATGATTTGACCTCAGATACAAAAGCACTTTTCATTACTAGAAAAAAAAAGTATCAGAGAGCAATTTTGCTGAGTATCTCGGAAGAAAAAGACCTCGAACCAAGAAAGGGGATACAAAGATTCCAGTAAACAAACACTACTGCCATGTGGAGATAACTTCGCTCTAGTGCTACCTTGAATACAGAGAACACAGACCACAACACTGGAAAGTTTTCAAAGAAAAAATCACTGCAGAGAAAAGAAACTAACATTAACAAATTATCATGAATAGGTTATTTTTCACTTCAGTGTTAAGTTTGCTAAGTCGTCACACTGCACATAAAAAAATAATTTTTTAGGCCATGCATGGTGGCTGACACCTGTATTCCCAGCACTTTGGGAGGCCGAGGTGGGCAGATCACCCAAGATCAGAAGTTCGAGACCAACCTTGCCAATGTGGTAAAACCCTGTCTCTACTAAAAATACAAAAATTAGCCACACGTGATGGCAGGAGCCTGTGATCCCAGCTAGTAGGGAGGCTGAGGCAGGAGAATCGCTTGAACTGGGGAGGCAGAGGTTGCAGTGAGGTGAGATCGCACCACTGTACTCCAACCTGGGCAACAGACCAAGATTCTGTCTCAAAAAATTAATAATTTGTATTTACACTGATGAGCATGTACATTTATACTAATGAGTAGTATGTTTCTAATGTGTCTATTAAGTGCACAAAAAGCATTATTTTTTTAAAAATGTACACATCTTAATTTAAAATACTTTATTTTGCTAAAACATGCTAACACTCCTCTAAATCTTCAGCAAGACATAATCTTTTTGCTGGTGGAGGGTCTTGTCACAATGTTGATGGCTGCTGACTGATCAGAATAGTGTTTGCTGCAGGTTAACGTGGCTGTGACAATTTTTAAAAGTAAGACGGTGAAGTTTGCCACATTGACTCTTCCTTTCATGAAAAGACTTCTTTGCAGCATATGATCTTGTTTGATAGCACTTTACCCACAGTAGAAAGTTGTTCAAAATTGGAATCAATCCCTCAAAGTCTGTCTCTGCTTTACCAAGTTTACATAATATTCTAAATCCTTTGTTGTCATTCCACCATGTTCACAGCATCCTCCCCAGGAGATCCCATCTCAAGAAACCACCTTCTTCACTCATCCATAAGAAGCAACTCCTCATCTGTTCCAATTTTTGTGAGATCGTAGCAATTCAGTCACGTCTTGAGGCTCTACTTGCTATTTCCACCACATCTGCAGTTACTTCCTCCAATCAAGTCTTGAACCCCTCAATCATTCATGAGGGCCGGAATCAACTTCTCCAGAACTCCTCTTAATGTTGATATTTTGACCTCCTCCCATGAATCATAAATGTTCTTAGTGACATCTAGAATGATGAATCCCTCCCAGAAAGTTTTCAATTGACTTTGCCCAGACCCCTCAGAGGATTCACTATCAATAGCTGCTATAGCCTTATGAAGTATATTTCTTATGTAGTAAGGTTTGGAAGTCGAAATTACTCCTTGATCCATGGGCTGCAGAATAGATGTTATTAGCAGGCATGAAAACATTAATCTCCTGATACACCTCCATCACAGCTCTCAGATGGCCAGGTACGTTGTCAATAAGCAATCATATTTTTAAAGGAATCTTTTTGTTTTCAGTAGTAAGTCTCAATAATGGGCCTAAAATATTCAGTAAACCATGTTATAAACAGATGTGCTACCATTCAGGCTCTGTTGTTTCATTTCTAAGGCACAGGGAGAGTAGATCTGGCATAATTCTTAAGGGCTCTAGGATTTTCTGAATGGTAAATGAGCACTGGCTTCAACTTAAAGTCACCAGTTACATTCGCTCCTAACGAGTCAGTCTGTCCTTTGAAGTTGTGAAGCCAAGCACTGACTTCTCTCTAGCTATGAAAAGTACTAGATGGCATCTTCTGCCAATAGAAGGTTATTTCATCTACATTGAAAATGTGTTGTTTAGTATATCCACCTTCATCAATTACCTTAGCTAGATCTTCTGTAACTTACTGTAGCTTCTTCATCAGCACTTGCTGCTTCACCTTGTGCTTTTATGTTACAGAGATGGCTTCTTTCCTTAAACCTCATGAACCAACCTCTACTAGCTTCAAACTCTTCCTCTACAGCTTCTTCACCTCTCTCAGCCTTCACAGAATTGAAAAAGTTAGGGTTTTGCTCTGGAATAGGCTTTGATTAAAGGAATGTGGTAACTGATTTGATCTTCTGTCCAGACTACAGAAACTTTCTCCATATCAGCAATAAGGCTGCTTTACTTTCTTATCATTTATATGTCCACCAGAGTAGTGCCTTTAATTTCCTCTATGAACTTTTCATTCACATTCTTAACTTGGCCAACTGACACAAGAGACCTAGGTTTCAGCCTATCTCAGGTTTCAACATGCCTTCTTCACTAAGTTAAACATTTCTAGTTTTTTTAATTTAATGTGAGAGACAGGTGACTCTTCCTTTCATGTTTATTAGCCGGTCTAATTTCAACATTGCTGTGTCTCAAGGAATAGAGTGGTCCAAACAGAAGGAGAGAGATAGGGGAATGGCTGATTGGTGGAACAGTCAGAACCCACACAGTCGTCAGTTAAATTCACCATCTTATATGGATGTAGTTCATGGCACCCCAAAACAATTATAGTAGTAACATCAAAGATCACCAGGCACAGATCAGCATATCATCTATAGTGTTTTAAAAAGGCTTACAATAGGTGAGAGTTACCAAAATGTGACACAGAGACACAAGGTGAGCACATGCTATCAGGAAAATGGTCCCAACAGACTGGCTGGAAACAGGGTTGCCACAACCTTCAATTTGTATAAAACTCAGGATCTGTGAAGTGGAACAAAACAAGGTATGTCTGTACTCGAGTGGCATTTCATTAAATTCTATCTTCCATAGAGAGTACGGTTTTCCTTCAAAGCTTAGAAGAAACAATACATCAAACATTCAGATACTTACTTAAGATTCCCTCTACAGCATTGTGCTGAACAAATTTTATGCCTGAGATTTTAATATCAGCACCCGTGCAGTCCACAAAAGTGTCACCTTTGCCCCTCTTTTCTATCACAATGTCATCTGGTAGACCATATCCTAAGACAGAACAAGAACACTCAAGATGGGTGAGGAAAAACATCTAAATAAGAACACTCTAGAACAGGTTTCTCTAGTTCAAATGACTACAAATGATGAGACCAGTCAACCAGGTTGTACTTAATAAAATCTCTCTCTACATATTCTGTTTGATTTAAACCATGGTATCCAATTTTTAACAATCGCCACTCTCTGACTAGTCCCCATATCAAGATGACTACCCTGTCAACTATCTCACATCAGCTTATCACTAAATTCACTTACAAAATTGCTATAAAAAATAAATAATGTTCAAAACCAGCCTAGGCAACCCAGTGAGACTCCATCTCTACAAAAAGTAAAAAAAAAAAAAAAAAAATTAGTCAGGCGTGGTTGCACGCACCAATTACTCACTACTCAAGGAGGCTAAAGTGGGAGGGTCACTTGATCCCAAAATGTTAAGGTTACAGTAAGCTATGATCATGCCATTGTACTCCAGCCTTTACTCTGGGTGACAGAATGAGACCTGGTCTCAAATGAATGAATGAATGAATGAATGGACTTACAGCTGAGTCAAAGAACTTTAAAGCATTCACACTTAGAAGATTGCTTCTAATATAAATTACATTTGAATAAACCTAAGCAGTTCTCAAGATGATCTAATTTTAATATTCTCTTAAACAGTTAACTTAAAATCTGACAAACTGACTACTTACTAGAAAAAAACAGTCTACCTCATTAACAAATAATAAGCATCAGATAGAAGCTGGGCATGATGGCTGTAATCCCAGCACTTTGGGAAGCTGATGCAAGTGGATCACTTGAGGTCAGGAGTTCGAGAGCATCCTGGACAACATGGTAAAACCCCACCTCTACTAAAAATACAAAAATTAGCTGGGTGTGGTGCCTGCCTGTAATCCCAGCTTCTCAGGAGGCTGAGGCAGGAGAACTGCTAGAACCTGGGAGGCAGAGATTGCAGCGAGCTGAGATTGTGCCATTGCACTCCAGCCTGAGTGACAGAGTGAGACTCCATCTCAGAAAAAAAAAAAAAAAAAAAAAGCATCAGATCTTGGTCAGGCACAGTGACTCATGCCTATAATCCCAGACTTTAGGAGGCCAAGGTGGGTGGATCATTTGAGGTCAGGAATTCAAGACCAACCTGGCCAACATGGAGAAACCCTGTCTCTACTAAAACTACAAAAATCAGTCAGGCATGGTGGCAGGCACCAGTAATCCCAGCAACTCAGGAGGCTGAGGGAGGAAAATCGCTTGAACCTGGGAGGCAGAGGCTGCAGTGAGCTGAAATCACACCACTGCACTCCAGCCTGGGCAACAGAGTGAGACACCATCTCAAAAAAAAAAAAAAAGCATCAGATCTCAATAAATCTTAAATCAATAATGCAGGCTAAACAGCTGAGTGGGCTTACAAAAAACTGGAGTATCAGAAAGCTAAAGAACTCGGTTGACTTCCATTGTAAAACAAAACCACAGAGACAAAGTTGTAAGAAATAACTCTCACTGTCTACAGATGAGTCTTTGAGTAAATGAAAGCAGTAACTGCATTTAACAAGCAAAGCCACTGAATTTATCTACACTTGAAGAGAACAAACAAGGCTTTGGGGGCCCTAGAGAATGCAGGAGGACTCCACACACGGGAATGCTACCGGGACGGACTCTGGATGCCTGAATTATGAATGATTTTGTTTTTTAAGGGTACATTTCTATGTTTTGACAAATGTATACAATCATATGATAGCCACCACAAAAAAGAGGTGTAGAATATTTTCATCATCCTGAAAGATTCCTTGTATCTCTTCCCGGTCAACCACCCTCCCCGTAATATCCCTGCTTCTAAACCCTAGTAACCCTGATCTACTGTCACGATAGATGTGTCTTTTCCAGGTTTCATATAAATTTACAGAGTGTGAATACTGTGTTATTCCAATTACATGACACTCTAGAGAAGGCAACACTATGGAAGCTAAAAAGGTCAGTGGTTGCCAAGGGTTGGGGGAGAGAGTGGGATGAACAGGCAGAGCACGGAGGATTTTTAGGACAGTGAGTCTTTTCTGTATGACACTATAATCATGGATACATATTACAGTATACATTTGTCAAAACCTATAGAATGCTCAACACCAAGAGTGAATGTATCAGGCAGACAGGAAAGAAGGAAGGAAGGAAGGGAGGGAGGGAGGGAGGGAGGGGAGAGAAAAATGAAATAAAGAAAGAGAGAGAGAAAGAAAGAAGGAAAGAGAGAGAAAGAAAAAAGGAAAGAAAGAGAAAGAAATAAAGAAGGAAATAAGGAAAGAGAAAGAGAAGGAAGGAAGGAAGCGGGGGAGGGAGGGAGGGAGGGAGGAAAGACAACAGCTCAGTGCCTATCAGACCTATACATTTTAGAGTCTTCGGGGTTGGATCCACTTCTCCTTCCTCTCTCTGTTCTTTCGCTGGGCAATTTCATCGTCTTACTACAACCCTAACATGTATAGACCATTTGTCTTAGCACCAACTCTCCATATCCAATTGACCATATTTTAAGGTCAGCATGTCCAAATCTAAACTCTTTATCAGTCCCCTCAAACTTGACCTCCATCCAGGATTCTCCACTTGAATACATGATACCGTCATCTATCCAGTTTCTCAAGAGAAAAATAAAGGAGTCACCTCTCTACATCCAATCCATCAGCAAGTCTTGTAATCCAACTTTCAAAGCCTATACCAAATTCTTAACACTTCTCACTCCTCTGCAATCATCCCTATTCCAAACCATGATTATCCCTTTTCTGGGCAACTGCAGTTACCTCTTTTTTTTTTTTTTTTTTTTTTTTTTTTTTGAGACGGACTTTCGCTCTTGTTACCCAGGCTGGAGTGCAATGGCGCGATCTCGGCTCACCGCAACCTCCGCCTCCTGGGTTCAGGCAATTCTCCTGCCTCAGCCTCCTGAGTAGCTGGGATTACAGGCACGCACCACCATGCCCAGCTAATTTTTTGTGGTTTTAGTAGAGACGGGGTTTCACCATGTTGACCAGGATGGTCTCGATCTCTTGACCTCGTGATCCACCCGCCTCTGCCTCCCAAAGTGCTGGGATTACAGGTTTGAGCCACCGCGCCCGGCCTGCAGTTACCTCTTAATTGGTCTCTTTCTCCCCAGCCTAGAGTAAATGATCCACTATTCTTATAGCCCCCTGCATTCTTCCTACGCAGCTCTTGTCACAATTTACACTTTTCTGGTTTTCCTGCCTCCTCTTTAACAGGTAGCACTGCAAGCCCGGTAGCTTCAAAAACACCAGGAAGTCCAGTGTTTTTGGGAGACCAAAGTAGGAGGATCACTTAAGGCCAGGAGTTTGAGACCAGCTTGGGCGAGATAGCAAAACCATCTCTACTAAAAATTTGAAAATCAGCCAGGCAAGGTGGCCTGCAACTCTAGTCTCAGCTACTCAGGAGGCTGAGGTGAGAGGGCTGCTTGGAGCCCAGGAGTTCGAGGCTGCAGCCAGTTATGATTGCACAACTGCACTCCAGCCTGGGTGACAGAGCAGGACCCTCAACTCTTAAAAACAAACAAACAAACAAACAAAAAGAAAAAACAGTGAGCTCCATGAGGACAAGAGTGAGGTGTGCTTTCTTTTTTTATTTTTATTTATTTATTTATTTATTTATTTATTTATTTATTTATTTATTTTTTTAAATGAGTGAGAGGTTCTTATGTTGCCCAGGTTGGGCTTGAACACATAGCCTCGCCTCCTCAAGCGCCAGGACAACTGGCCAGAGCCACTGCGGCTCCCGAAGTGTGCTTTCTTATCATCTTGTCCCAGTGCCCTGCACACTAGCTGACACGTTAAATGTTCATAGAATTCGCTAGTAAGGAAATCAGACATAGCATGCATACTGCTGAGGACCAGGCCCGTTGCCACCTTTCCAGCAGGCTCCTTTCAACAGAGAGGCTCTCCGCATTGCACTTCCCAAGCACTTTGATTTGCAAGTCTTTAATTTACCAGCAACTTCTTCTCAGGATCACACATGTGCCTCCATGTATAGTGGAATTCTATTTGGTTTTTGATTAATGTCCCTTCTCAGAAAGGCCTTTCCTGACTACCCAATCTAAACTAGATCTCAACCCATCATCCCATCTTCCTCCAGCACCATACCCAGTTAGTTTCCTGCAGAGCATTTTCAAAATCTATAATTATGAATTTCTTTCTCCATTTGTTTGTATGGTCTCCCCGTGAGGATGAGAACTATGAGGACGATGTTCTGTCCACTAATAGCTCCTCAATACCCAGTACAGAGCCTGGAATCTGGCTGGAGCCTAATAAATATTTCTTGAGTGGATGAAAGGATGCATGGAAAGTTCTCTTGGCCTCATTAAACAACCAGTTCCAAAAAAATAGGCACTTTCTCAGAAATTGGAACAAATGTGATATTTCTGCTTCAATTCTCACTAAACTGCCCAGAAATCTCCTGGCTTCTTGAAATATCTGCTAAGAATTCCAGCTATCCCAGTGAGCATTTGCACACACAGCACAGCTGGGCTGGCAGGTTCATGATGCAAGGAGGCCTGTTCTCCCCATCACCTCCGACTTACCCCCAACATTGCTCTCACCCAGACTTTCCACCTGGCCTCCTAAGGTCCCTAGAATGGAACAGCCTCTCCCTTAGGAAGCCTCCCAGCCTTTCTGTCTGAGGGAGCCTCACATTTTATTCTCCCTCAGAGGACACTCTTGAACAGCTAGGGTGATGGTGCCCTGGGAAAGGCATTGTTTTCTTTTCTTTTTTTAAAAAATTTATTTTATTGCATTTTAGGTTTTGGGGTACATGTGAAAGACATGCAAGATTGTTGCATAGGTACACACGTGGCAGCTTGATTTGCTGCCTTCCTCCCCATCACCCCATATTTGACATTTCTCCCCATGCTATCTCTCCCCAACTCCCCACCCCCCACTATCCCTCCCCTATTTTCCCCCAACAGACCCCAGTGTGTATTGCTCCCCTCCCTGTGTCCATGTGTTCTCATTGTTCAACACCCACCTATGAGTGAGAACATGCCGTGTTTGATCTCCTGCTCTTCTGTCAGTTTGCTGAGAATGATGGTTTCCAGGTTCATCCATGTCCCTACAAAGGACACAAACTCACCATTTTTGATGGCTGCATAATATTCCATGGTGTATATGTGTCACATTTTCCCTATCCAGTCTATCACTGATGGACATTTGGGTTGCTTCCAGGTCTTTGCTATTGTAAACAGTGCTGCAATGAACATTCG